CCATTGAACAGAAATGGCTGGCATTTTTACAAACGAATAGCAAATATCATAAAACAACACACCAGAAAGGCCACCATTTTCAAAATGGTTGCTCACTAGCCAAGTTGTCATCAGGAGAAATAATATGCTTTTAAGTAGCCATCTCTAAAGTTTTTGAAAAATCGCACACATACTTGTAAAATAACACACATAAAAATGGTGGCCATTTTTCAAAATGGCCGACTACTCCCCAAAGTTTTATTAGACAATGTGCCATGCTTAAAGTATTCAAATATCAAATATGAACAAAATCGCTCCACTACTTTTCGAGTTATAGTAAAATACGTTAAAATAGCGGCCATTTTTCAAAATGGCCACCTTGTACCAAAAGTGTCATTAGAAACAAACAGTGTGCCATGCTTATAGTATTCACATACCAAACATGAACAAAATCGCTCCACTTCTTTTGGAGTTATAGTAAAATATGTTAAAATGGCGGCCATTTTTCAAAATTTTTTCAAAATGGCCGCCTTCTACCAAAAGTGACATAGGACAGTGTGCTATGCTTATAGTATTCACATACCAAATATGAACAATATCGCTCCCCTTCTTTTCGAGTTATAGTAAAATACGTTAAAATGGGAACCATTTTACATTTTTTTTTTTAAAATGGCCACCTTCTACCAAAAGTGTCATAGGACAGTGTGCCATGCTTATAGTATTCACATACCAAATATGAACAAAATCGCTCCACTACTTTTCGAGTTATACATGTAGTAAAATACGTTGAAATGGGGGCCATTTTTCAAAATGGCCGCCTTCTACCAAACATGTCATAGGACAGTGTGCCATGCTTATAGTATTCACATACCAAATATGAACAAAATCGCTCTACTACTTTTCGAGTTATAGTAAAATACGTTAAAACGGCGGCCATTTTTCAAAATGGCCGCCTTCTACCAAAAGTGTCTTTAGACAGTGTGCAATGCTTATAGTATTCACATACCAAATATGAACAAAATTAATGTCCTTTATAATTTTTTTACATTTAAAACATATTGCTATTACAGTTTTACATATTGCACCTAAATTACTGTACAATCGGCACTAAAATGGCCGCCATTTTGAAATGAGCGGCCATTTTGAAAATCGGCTATCGAGCAGATTTTCTACCCCCATAGGGTATATGTGTACAAAATATGAACAAAATCGGGCCAACGGTATTTGAGTTATTGCCCGGACGGACGGACGGAGGCGTTCCCTATATCCCTCCGAACTTCGTTCGATGGGATAATTAAATGATCTAGTGCGCCCTCCATTATGATCTCCCCATGAACAAAATAAATTCATCTGATTTTTCAAAATAAATATACTGCTTTTATCATTACACTTATATATACACTATTCAATCATAAAGTGTACAGGGAGATGCCATACCAGGAAGTCTTTGTGTGTCCGTCAAAATCCATTTGCATCGTACACATCCCTACATCTTATCCAAATATGTTATTAATTAATGAAACATAACAGTATAATCTTTGGATTTACAAAGTTGTATGGTATTTCATAAGTGTTAACGTTGCTTTTGAAGCATTTTTTTCTATAGCCATTTTGTAGGAAAAAATGATGAAAAAATGTATAATCTTTTAATTTGAAGTATGACCTGAATCGATTGCAAACTTTATATTTGCACATCTGATGTGATATACCATTTGTGTCATATTAATTGTGAAATTGTTTAATTTGCAATCAATTCAGGTCATTCAGTCATTCAGATTCAGGCAAATCAAATGTAGTGATAAGGCAATCGTAGGCCCTGGTATTCATTTTATTTCGTTTAGTAGCCATATTGTACCAAGCCCCGGGTATCAAATTGGCACTGCTTATTTATATTGTACGGAGTGAACAAACGATTACATTTGAAGTTGTCATTTACTCATTAAAATGTATTCTTATTTCCAATTAAGGATTGGGGCTTACACTTATAACAAGTAAGATTGTTTGTATCAAATATGGGCTCCCAGGCCATCCTAGAACATAGCTAAAATCAATCACGTAATGAGCGATGTGTAATCCCTTATCTAAACGTAAACCTGTAATTTTCACGCTTACCTGTAGAAAGTAGACTAATCTGACGTCATTTTCCTGCGCGCGCATAGAAGTACACGTTCATGCTTTGTTGAATACGCGTCTGTAAATTGCACGAATATGATAATCTCATGTAAAGACTTGTAAACTTCACGCTGGCCCACAGGAAATAAACAAATCTGACGTCATTTATCTGCGCGCGCATTGAAGTTCACGTTCAAGTTTTGTTAAATACGTGTAGCTTAACCTCTCTAGTAGCTATAAAAATCAAAGAAATCAATCAACATTGAGTTTGTAGCTCATCTCCCCAAGGATCAATAAAGGACATTCGGTCAACATTGAGTCTATAATTCATCTACTCAACGATCATTATTAGGCAATATATATATATCAACAATGAGTATGTAGCTCATCTCCCAGAAGATCAAGTTCAAGCAATCAAATAATTGCCTGCAGCTCAACTCCACTGTGATTATTATCAAACAATCGGTCAACATTGATTCATGTAGCTCAACTCCACTATGATTATTATCAAACAATCAGTCAATGTTGATTCCGTAGCTCAACTCCACTATGATTATAATCAAACAATCAGTCCACATTGATTGTGTAGCTCAACTCCAATATGATTATTATAAGACAATCAGTCAACACTGATTCCGTAGCTCAACTCCACTACGATTATCAAACAATCAGTCAACATTGATTCTGTAGCTCAACTTCACTTTGATTATTATCAAAAAATCAGTCAATATTGATTCCGTAGCCCAACTCCACTATGATTATTATCAAACAATCAGTCAACATTGATTCATGTAGCTCAACTCCACTATGATTATTATCAAACAATCAGTCAACATTGATTCATGTAGCTCAACTCCACTATGATTATTATCAAACAATCAGTCGACACTGATTCCGTAGCTCAACTCCACTATGATTATTATCAAACAATCAGTCAACATTGATTGTGTAGCTCAACTCCAATATGATTATTATCTAACAATCAGTCAACACTGATTCCGTAGCTCAACTCCACTATGATTATTATCAAACAATCAGTCAATATTGATTTATGTAGCTCAACTCTACTATAATTATTAAAAAAATCAGGCAATGTTGATTTTTTTAGGTTATTGTTATTTATTTCCATATTATTCAACATAGTTATTAACATATATTGTGAGGGGGCGAGGCTATATAGCATTTATTGCCCCCCCCCCAATATGAATATTGATTTATGTAGCTTAACTCCACTATGATTATACGAGCGTTGTCCCAGAATTAATGCACTATACACTCCAACTTTCTTTACTATTCTTCAATTCAGCTGACTTGTTTTGTATATAACAATTGAAGTTTTATCTATTATAGTTTCAGTATCAAAAATTGATATTAAGTCTTAATATGGTTGCTATAGCAACATGGGGGTAGGGATGGGTGGGGCAGGTACCAATTTTTCTGATTATGAAAAGATCTAAAGTGTTATTTTATTACTATTACTTTCCTTTAAATGATCAAAATGTTTGGGAAATTGTTCACCAGATAGAACTACACTTATGAGGTGGCAGAAGAGATTTAAAAGAGATGAGTTGACCCTGGATGACAACTCCCACCATGGGAGGCAAAAACTCCACAAGTCACAGTGGAAGAAATTGCCAAGAGTGTTTGACCTGACAGGCATCAAAAGTACATAACATGCAAAGGGCAATATTTTGAGAAAATGTGAAATGGGACACTGTGCAAGGTACCTCCATTAAATCTAGGATGTGCTCTTAGTAATTTAGTATCTTAAAATGTATTTTTGAGCATACTTCTTATAGTTACACAAAATGGTATTTGTTGATTAATTATTTCATATTTTCAACTTTTTATTACTTTTGACGTGACTGTATAACCTGCCCCACCCTACCCAAACTCACCAACTTGATTTTATTATAACATCAATATGGTTTTATAAGTCAACATGAAATTTTTTAGAATAATCAAAATGTCTCCAAGGAACATCCACTGAAAATTTCATGAACAAATATAAATTATTGATAAAGTTAAAGCATATAGTGCATTACTTCTGGGACAACCCTCGTATATCAAACAATCGGTCAACATTTATTCATGTAGCTCAACTCCACTATGATTTTTATCTAACAATCAGTCAATATTGATTCTGTAGTTCAACTCCACTATGATTATTATCAAACAAGATTCATGTAGCTCAACACTACTATGATTATTATCTAACAATCAGTCAATATTGATTCATGTAGTTCAACTCCACTATGATTATTATCTAACAATCAGTCAATATTGATTCTGTAGTTTAACTCCACTATGATTATTATCAAACAATCAGTCAATATTGATTCATGTAGCTCAACTCTACTATGATTATTATCTAACAATCAGTCAATATTGTTTCTGTAGTTCAACTCCACTATGATTATTATCAAACAATCAGTCAATATTAATTCATGTAGATCAACTCCACTATGATTATTATCAAACAATCAGTCAACATTGATTCATGTAGCTCAACTCTACTATGATTATTATCTAAAATCAGTCAATTTTGATTCATGTAGCTCAACTCTACTATGATTACTATCTAACAATCAGTCAATATTGATTCATGTAGCTCAACTCCACTATGATTATTATCTAACAATCAGTCACTATTGATTCATGTAACTCAACTCCACTTTGATTATTATCAAACAACCCCCCCCCCCCCAGATCCGCCAGTGCCCTAGATCACGTTGAACTAGATTTGACCTTTGTTGACCTACTTTCTTTTCAAAAAGCAAAAATTGAATAAGGTTTACAACAATACCAACAATATTGAAATCAGACAAGTAATAAAAAAGGTTGCAGACATTATTAGGGTTAACACCACCAAGTTCTGTTTGCTAAATGTAGTTTCTTTCACTTAGAATCTACAGGGGGTTTATCCGATTTACATTTTCGTATTTATAATTTTCAAAATATTTCTTTTTCGCCAATAGTTCCGTTTTTATAATTTGTCCAATTCGGGTCAAACATCTGAAAAAAAATCATAGGTTTGGAAATCTCGATCAAATGATCACGGTCGTAAATTGGACAAAATGTTTGTGGGGAAAAAATTCGACAAATCTGCAAGATTTATTTTATCGTGACATGTTTACAAAAAATCGCTATTTGAATAGGCGCAGGGTGTGGTAAAATCGGACGTTAGAGTGTTTATATGAGTTCAAAGAAATTAAAAAACGTTATGAAAATTACAGTGAGTGGAGGAGGGGAATTAACTGTCTAAAATTACTCCCCTCCCTACTCATTGTAGCATTTTGATTATCTTTATACAGTAACAGCATAAATAAGAAAAATACTTACATTTGTTCAGTATATGGCTGAATTATCCGTTCGTGTGGCTCGTGAACAATGAAAACATCCGGCAACACATGGAACTCATACCTTGAAATGTATAATTATCGGTAAATGTGGGTCAATCATCGAAACTTAAGAGATGATCAAAATCTCATTAATGTTCAATTAAATGACGGAAATGAAATGCATTATTTATCAATGTTTTAGATACAGTTTTAGATGAGGTAAGAAGCTGATAGTGAAGAAGGTCAATTAAATAGCGGACAAGAGGAGGGAAAGCCACAGCGATACCACCTTTGTTAGTTCCAATTTTCACAGGCTAATTTCCAAATATTACACTTTGGTGTGATTGATTGATGCAGGTATACTCCGTACATCTTCCTGTATATTGATGTGAAATTAGAAGCTATGATATTGGTTAACACGCCAGAAATGAACATAATATTATTCGAAGCGTGCTTCGAAAACTTATTTGTCGAAACGTATGTCATCTTTGAACTCTGGGATTATTCCCCCTCTTATAACCGACAGGAATAATATGTCCGAAAATGGTGGTCATACATTTCGATTTCAGTGACCATTCTTTTAGAAGACATATCTAATTCGTATTGTGGAATCGCCGTAAAATGCTTCATCGGGTATGTATACAATATATTCAACTTACTGCAAAACAAATAATTCATAATCGTAAAGTATTTTGTTCATATGCCTAGCAATCAATCGTTCGTCATAAACTGGAACAGTCTTTCTTTGCAGAACAACATAAGGTTCGAAATTTTCACTAACTTCTATCTACAAATATATGGAGTTTAAATCCTCGAATAAGTATTCTGAAGTTTGCAGGAACAACCGTTCGCTTTCAAATTGAAGATGGCTTTTAACCACTTTATTTTCTATGAAAAGTCAAGTCGGTTTTAAATGTCAGTAAACGTTACATATTTGAAGAAGCTTGAAGGTATATAAGCATGGCAATTAGCAATATCATTGGTAGGCTAGGTGGTATAAGATATTGCTTCTTTACACGATATATATCAAAGTCTGGGATATTTGGGTTTTTATGCCTGGTTGTACTTCCAACGTTTTGTTTTCTTGTTTTGTTTTGTAGTTTTTTCCCGTCCACTTGTACATAAGTCATATAAGCATGCTAATTTTTATTATGCCATTTTATAACTAGTAACTTTTTCATTAAAGTAAAGCTCCAATTTACCTTATACGTTTTGGTAGCTTTCATAAAATGCGACCAGTTTGTGCTACTATGACAACCGGGGCACCTCGCAAAGCTAAAGATAAAAATATCTGTGTTTATATAAGGTGTCCCAAAAGTTTCAGCTATCTATCGTAATTACTATTGCTACAATAAGGGTCTTAAATACTGACACCAAGTAATACATATTATTATGCACCTCATTAAAATACCCAAATCTGATTGGTTAAGAGCTGCAGGGTATATTGCCATACGTGGCAGCAAGATCTCGTTCTATCCAGTATTGAAGCAATGAGATCTCCAACCATCCCGTATGCCAGAATACCTATCCTCGAAAAAAATACTAGGCTCGGCTTCAAACGTTTTTGTTCTCTTTAGACATCATTACACACCGCGCTTCACCAAATATTCAGTCTCAGCCTCTCTCCGAGGTTGCTGTCGATACAAAATATTTGTCAATGTTTGCCGAGTCAAGGTTATGAATGCTATACCTGAATGTATGTATTGTTCTATTCTTTTGTTTCAGTTTCTCCAACAGTTGCGTTTTATTATCGGGTACTCCACCCTCAGTTAGGTTCGTCTCAAATGCTGGTGTTACCAATGCCTTGAAATAAACACTAGTAAAGAGAAACACCGGGGATACCAGAAAAGCATAAGAAACGTTATATAAAATAAGACTTTGGGTTGTAAGGAAATTAAGAAATTATATTGACACACTGTTCGAAGGTTACGAAACAAGAAGTTCAATCGTTGCGCGGTAGTAGTTGTTTACACTCTGTAATAAGTGAACCAGTTGGTGACACTCGTTTTTTACATAACTTCAGATTATAACTGGTCGGTTCAATAAAAATGGCGGCCTTGTCCCGGGGAAATGATCAGTTATCATATTTCGTAGTAATGTTAATAAACCGAGTGTCACGGATTGGTTCGATTGTGCAGGGTATATATATACCGGTCTACTTGCGTTCCAATTGAATTTGTGAATATGTTTCTTTATAAGCTGGTATGCATCCTTATTTGGAGTAAAGTCGGCATCAATCATCCAAATATGGGAAGTATTAGCACCATAGAGAGCGACATTTCTCATAAAGTTTACTGGATAGTATCTCTGAAAATAAAATGGAGATAATCAAATTTTTTAAATATTAGATCCTATTGAATTATACCAAAGTGGTAAAGCTGCTGTGTTGGTAAGATGGCGACTTCCAAAACCATGTGCTCGTGTGTGCTGTTATGTCGACAAATACAAGTAGAAAACAAAAACTCCATGGAGTAGCATATCCTATCGAACAAAACATGTTTTGATAAATAGCAGCCTTCCTTCTTTAACAGAGCTCCTTTATCCAAAGGAATCAGCATAAAATTTTTCAACCAAATCTGTCTACTGGTGTTTGAATTCAAAACATGGCGGCCATTTTGGAAGTAAGCAGCCATCTATTTTGGGCAAAACTCCTCTGTCCATAGGCATTAGCATATGAAATTTGAAAAAAATCTGTGAAGAATCATTTGAATTATCAAAGAATACATTTTAACGAAAAATTGCCGCCATTTTGAATTGGGTGGCCATATTGAACGGACTGACGGCTTCTCCATTCCTCTCGTACTTCGTTCGGTTCGATAAATATTTATCACTTACTGCATTCCGTTGATATACTACGTGTATTCCAATATTGTTTCGTTTCCAAGAGTGTGTCGTATGCAGAAACGTTTTAATCTCGTCATCAGTTCCAAAAACAGATATACTTGCAGGACCAGGCCATTTTGCAAGAATCGTCGCAATTCTATCTATACCTCTGCAAATGCACAGAGAAGATGATTACGAGGGTTGTCCCATAAGTCTTGAAATTTTTATTCTAATTCATAGAATATTTGAGATACAATGATGAAAATTTCACATTTTGTAACTTATTTCTACTATATCTGTAAGTTTCATAGCATAATAAGATCATTTGGCAATGTTACAGATGATTTAAAATGGAATGTTGGGGGTACACGGGGCAGAAAACAGGATAAAAAATATGAATATGATGTAAAAATTAAGGATTTGGGAACCCCTGGCTCAGCTCAACACGTTGCCTTTTCTGCTCCTCTGTCAGAATATGTGGAATGAATCTAGGGGCTACCTATGACATCCCAAGGTCTTTCTTCATCACTCTGTGAGCAGTACTCTTACTAAGTCTAGGGCGATATTCTTACACTGAGTAGTTCTCCTTTCAGCCCTCATACTCTCTGCAATATGTGATATGAGATCGTCATTGGATTTTGGCCTTCCACTTCTGGGAGCATCCTCCAGGCTGGTATTTCCAGTTTTTAACTTTCTCTGCCACCTCCATATTGTGGGTGCACTCGGAGGTTACTGTCTATATACTTTTTCCATGGCTGTTCTTGTTTGTGTAGGTGTATGCCCTAAGGAGGCGTGGTAACTGCACGCAAAGATTTAACATCTGGTGTCAAAATTCCTGCCATTTTGATTTTCAAAATGCTGTGGCTCTGTACCAAAATTGAGCAATTGTGCAAGTTTATTATGACATCACAGAGGTATTTCATAAATTATTACCAAGAATACAGTGTTTTTGTCAATCTTGACAGGTGATTCACAATTTAAGATGCATACCATCCTTTAAAATCCTTAATACTCCCGTGGCTCCATTTTACATTTTTACTATATTTCATTACTGCCCCACCCCCGACTCCCCTGGTAACCATAGCAACCATAATAGTTACTCACGTTCATAATTTTCTTATGAAACTATCACATGTTGAAGATAATTAATTGATCTTGATACATACCAATTTTCAGCCAAATTCATTAAAATCTTTTTGAATTAGAATAAAAATGTCAAGACTTATGGGACAACCCTCGTATATGGCTATGTTCGGATGTTAGGTGAGATATTTACCGATGCATGTTTGATATGTGGGACTTTAATACGTAACATTAAGAACATCATGTTTTACTATAAGAATGCTGGTGTCCAACCTTACTGGTGGTAAAGAGTGAGTCGTAGTATAAACGGTGTTTTAGCAATGTTTTCAAGACATCTCTTGAATTTTAGTGTTCTTAATCATCAAGAACCAAGCCTCACATATTAGACACTATCATTTACGAAAGATCGACAAATTCAAAGGAACTGATCATAAACCTGATACCTGTTAAGAGTAATATGCGATAATATGGTCACATCTATAGGCAATGGGTCATATCCATATCGAAACACAAAATACTTGATTTCATGACGTAGTTTAATCTCGGATATCAGATTCTTGCAGGAATCAAAACTCTGCTTTTTTACGTCTTTATAGGAACGATTTAACGCTCGCAGAAACGTATCACTTAATTGCTTCTCTTTTGAATCATTTTCATATATATTCTTATTAGTCTCTATAAGTTGCTTTAAAGTAACAGTTTTTAATTGTTCAGATTCTGCTTTTCCTCCATCTTGTTTAGGTATTGCCGCTGGAGAAGTGAAGTTGGACGAGCGCCTATCTACAAATAGAGGATTACATTTGAAGGATTGGGTCAATCAGATTCAAAGATATCAAATTAACGCATTAGATTCTGCTTTTATATTTCTGTCTTTCAATATTCACACCAATGAACAAAAATGCTTGTGAAAACTAATTACAAAAGTATTCAAGAGACTCTAATCTACATGGCTAAGGTTTTATTTGAAGATACACTGCCACTGCCAGGGCCGTATAATATCTTTGAATTGTAAAATTTTCTGGAGGGAGTGGGCGACTCATTACACCCCCCAAAAAGAACAGTTGAATAAAAATCTGAATTTATTCTTTGCATTGTCTCAGACACTTAAAATTGCTCAGACATCTCATCAAATAGCAAGTTGAGATAGTCAATGTTTTAAAGGGAACGATTCCTTGTCCCATCTGGCGCACCCCCAAACAGACATCATCAAATAGCAACTTTAATGGTCACTGTTTTGGGTGGCAACATTTGAACCAAATCCGTTCACTTGTATTTGAGTGACCAAAGATTACGTTTCTTACAAAAAATGGCGGCCACTTTGAAATTTAACCACCATCTTGGAAATCATGAGTCAAAGTTTATGTGTGTCCCTAGGCATCAGCATATAAAATTGTAACCAAATCTGTTCACTGGTTTTTGAGTTATCAAAGATTACGTTTTTTCACAAAAATAGCGGTCATTTTGAAATTCAGCTGTATCTTGAAAATTCTTCTTGAACAGAGCTACTAAGTCACTAGGCATCGGCATGTGCATTTTGAACCAAATCCATTCATTTGGTATTCATTAGATGCGAGTGGAAATAATCTTGATTTACTACATAAAATATGTATTTTTCTGTTGAAATTTGACTCCTAGTTCGGGGAGATTCCAAATAGACTCCATGTAATATAATAAAACACGAAAAGTCAAATATCTTTTCTTGCCAAATATGATTTTAAACCCACGCTGGGTGACTGACTTATTAGGATTTGTTTTGGCTACCATTTTTGGCTGACCCTGTATTATGTTTTACGTCCTTTTGTCACCTATGTCTATAGCACATTTAGAATCGAGAGGCATCTTGGTACGGCGAACACAAGCACAACATAATGTAATCCGATTTCTCATTGTTAAGATCGAGAGCTTGGTCTAGAACATAACTCAGTAGCTACCCCTGGGGTAAATAGTATACGATACTTATAGGACCTTTATTGACTAGAGATATTTTTATATCGAATGTGGCCAACATTTTCACAACTATATCGGTGAGTGCTCAAAATGGATGAGTTGCAAACAAAAACATAATTTAGACATAAATAAATCGGAATATAGAAAGCGATATCATGTCATATTCCGTGTAATAGCCGTCGCAATGTTATCATTATTAACACAACCTACAGCTGTTCTTTTAAACGGCGATTACAATAGCAAACACTTTAGCTGGAACGAGCACAATTCAGCTAATAACACAGCGGGTACTCAACTTTATAACTTTATAACCTCATAACTAATTTTGGACTTACTCAGCTTGTTACCGAGCCTACCAGAATAAGACCGACTTCAATGTCATGCATTGATCTTTCAATATGTGATTCCCCGGGACTAGTCGAAATGACTAAAGTACTCACACCTATCGGTAACTCAGATCATTGTTGTGTTCTAACGAGATTAACTACTGGTCTAACCAGGGAGCAGTCAACTAAGCGAACTAAGTGGTATTATGACAAAGTTAATCGCACTGTTTTGAATGAAGCTATTTGTAACTCCCACCTTCAAAATATTTCGGAAGGAAATGCAAACATAGATCAAAAAGTCAACGAGTTTACTGAGATTCTTTTCAGCATTTTTCAGAAACATATACCAAATAAAACCAGGAGGAAAAGAGAATCGGATAGACCTTGGTTTGATGACACAATTAAACATGAAATTAATGTTCGAAAAAGACTTAGGCACAATTTAAAATTTCAAAAAACGAAATTGATTATCAACTTTACAAAACCCAATTGCTAGTTGTAAACGATTTAGTGAAACAGAAAAAACTTGACTACGACAATAATGTTACGGAAAGCGTTCTCAGTTCCGAAATTACATCCAAATCTTACTGGTCGCTTATTAAACAACTCCTTGGTAAACGTTTTTGCAATTCCTTCCCCGCAATGTTTGACCTCGAAAAAAATACCCCAGTACATAGCAACCTAGGTAAGGCTAACCTGTTTCTCGAACATTTTGTTTCCAAATATTCCAATGAAATAACTGTGATGGAAAGGCCCTTTCCTAGCAGAACTCAATTATATATGCAAGAATTTGAAATTTCCCCACAAATGATTGTGGAAAGTATAATGGAATTAAAACGTGGAAAATCAGCCGGACATGACCAAATCACAAATGAAATGTTAAAATTAGCAAGTGACCCCCTCGCCATTCCATTATCAAAACTTTTTAATTCGATTCTCACTTCCAAGACTTTTCCTTCAAAATGGAAAGAAGGAGTTGTTTGTCCTATCCATAAAAAAGATGACAAATCTCTAATAAAAAATTATCGGCCTGTAACTTTACTTTGTACAATGTCTAAACTTTTTGAAAAAATAGTAAATTGTAAACTGATGACCCACTTGACATCAAATAACCTAATTTATGAAATGCAATCTGGATTTCTTAAAGAACACAACACTCAACTCCAACTAACTGCTATAACAAACTACATTCTTCAAAATTTTGAAAATGGTCTCGATGTTCGAGCAATATTTTTGGACATTCAATCAGCCTTCGACAAAGTCCCTCATGTACTCCTTCTTCAGAAAATCAAATCCTACGGTATCCCAAAATCACTAATTGACCTTTTTCAATCTTACCTCACAAACAGAACAATTAAAATTAAGATCAATGATGAATTATCTAGGTCAAGTAAAGTCGGTCAAATCAACTCTGGAGTCCCCCAAGGCTCAATATGGGGACCGATTTTCTTTTTGTTATATCTAAATGACATAACAGACGATTTAAACTCTAAATGTTTTATCTATGCGGATGACACGTCACTTTTTTGTCCGGTTGACCCAATAAATCACCAAACAGATAGCCAAGTTCTTCAAGATGACTTAATTCATATCCAAATGTGGTCCCAGAAATGGGGACTAACTTTCGCACCACAAAAAAGTCACGAGTTGATCTTTAAAACAAATAGACCAATTGAGAGAACATATCCTAAGTTTGTTTTCAACGACACTCCAATAGATCAAATTAAACATCATAAGCACCTCGGGCTAATTCTTGATGAAAAGTTAACTTTTAAAACCCATATTGAATATCTAGAAGGTAAGGTTCAAAAATTATTAAATCCACTTATGGCACTTAAGCATAGATTAAATTCCAAACACCTGGAAAAAATTTACTCTTCCTTTATCCTGTCACATCTGGACTATTGCGATATCATTTATGACGCTGCTCCAGCTACCAGCCTAGCCCAGTTAGACAAGCTACATTATAGGGCAGCTGTTATTTGTTCTGGTGTTATGCAAGGAGCAAGCACAGAAAAAACCCTTGAAATATTAAATTGGGATAATCTTCAAAATAGACGGGATGAACATAAATTGCGCGTTATGTTCAAGATTCAAAACAATTCGGCACCATCTTACGTTAAACGGATTTTCGAACGATATAAATCACCTCAGACGCGAGTTCTTAGAACAACCAACGACTACAAATTACCAGCCTCAATTAGTAAAAAAATGGAAACGGGAACAGTTTGCTCAATGATAACCTTGTGGAACCGTCTTCCTAGAGACCATAAGGAAACAAACAGCTTCTCACTTTTCAAAAAACAACTAAGCGATCATCTCACTAATAATATGGAACCTACAATTTCAACCTCCTACATACAGAATCTTGATAGAAAAGACGAAATTATACTAAATAAGATAAGAGTAAATCGATATTTTAAATCCGATCTTTTTGACCATAATTTCTCTTTCATTAACGATCCATATTGTGACTGTGGAGCTCGAGAGACAGCACAACATAAACTCTTGTCCTGCCCTCTGAGAGAAACAAATGCGCTAGCGGTGGTTAAACGTGAACTAAACTTAGATGTTACCAAATACAAAACATTAAAAAATAAGACAAATTTCCTACTTTTTGGCGACAAGGATCTGACAAATGAAAACAATTCCAAAATCTTTAAGGCAGTTATAAATTTTATTAAACACAATTAAACAATCAAAACAGTAATTCAATTTCAGGGCACCAACGGGGGTACAGGCAGGCAGTAAAACAGATTGTATTTAAATTTTATATATTTTTATACTAACTATGAATATGACTCAATAACATTATATTGTATTTAAATTCACTTAAAGCGGCAGTAGAAATGCCCTTTATGGGCGATTACGCCGTGATTACAATGTAAATTTATTTAATGATTTAAAGAAATAAATGAGTATTTATTAAAAAAAATTATTAACTGCGATGCAAGCATCTCTATGCACATGTTAATGAACTTATTTTACATTGAATTGATTTTGTTTCTTTTTTAAATTATTTTCTCTATTTTTAAAACATGTCATAGTTTGATTCCATTATCATAATCGAGAGGCAGGCTAAATAAATAACAATATTACATAAAAAATCTATAAAAATAACAAAGAGCGAGTACACCCTGTGAAAAATGTGCTATACGTAAACAAGCGATATGGATGTAATGTGCGCAAGGTGCGGATATTAACGGCCATTTTTTAATTTGAATTTGTGATATTTCATAAAACAAAAGCATGTTGGGTACTCAATCATGTTCGCCGATTTGTGGAGGATATCTAATAAAAGGCAAATTTTGTATATTGTTGTGTTCTTCATTCTTTAACAAAGGCGCAAAGCATTCATCTTTCTCCAGAGCAAAAATTTCTCTTAACCGCTTAACGCGTTTTGGATATCGTCACTTTACAGATATCGACACCGCTTATTTAGAGGTAGTACATTTTCGTTTAAAACCAATCAACTTTCAAAATGCAAATACAACTTTGTATTAATAGGTCATATCGATCATGTAAATGCCGTTGTTACGGTGTAGTCTAGTACAGCTGCACTTTCAAATCATATGCTTTGGAGAGAATATCGTCGCTTGATGTGTCGCTATAGAATAAAGTACACTGGGTAGTATCGTGATGCAACAACACCGTGTTGTTGCATCAAGATGGCCAGACTTCCGGTGATAGATTTTCGTACGATATTTTGTTTCCCCAATTAAACCCATTTCTAGGACGAGTTGCTCAATAACCATACACGTGCAGTTAGCGCACGGTCTATATTTAAAGAAACTGTCATTAGTATACATGTACCATCACCAAGAAGCAATAAGTTCACGGTTTTAGTTCCTCACTATTGATGCAACAACACCAAACCGAAGATGCAACAACACTCCTCTAGATTTGAGCAATGATGCAACAACACCAATTAATAGTATAATTTCAGAAGACCGTAAATCTCGAGACGAACAGATTTTTAAATGCTACTATTGCAACACCGTTGCCCATTAGCCTACCCATATTTTAGTTCTTCTCAAGGCATTCAAAATGCGGGCGAAGATCCTTTATATGTATTTTCAAAAATTTATACTTTTACATATTATAATGTACTGGACGTTGTTCTTTAACATAGTTCAATCGCCTTTAACATGGCAAGCTTTAGTAACTCAATCTATTTTCATAAACCACTGTTCCATAGCTTGATGACCCTGACTCCAGTTAGTATCATTCAAAATGGTGGACAAACATCTTTCGTTCCCCGGGTTTCGTTCTCGGTAAACATGATGAGCTATTGGATATTATCTCCATATTCGTGAGCTTATGGTGATAGGATGATTGCTTCATCTATGATATATAAGGGTTATGTACTGGGAGGTTTTGGATATAGGTTATATCCTGAGGGATATATTTATATCATCCCGAGGGACCGAAGGGACCAAGGGGAGATATAAATATGTCCCGAGGGATATACCCTATATCCAAAACCGATCGTACATAACTGGTGTATCTCATACTTAAGTGGGTTTGGGGTTCCACCTTTTTCAAATGACAAGATAGGCCTATACTGTAAAAGCACAATTTGTATTTAACATTTTCGTAATATTCCTTTAGTTCAATACAATGAAATTGTAACATTTAAACATTTTAACAAATTTTAAACTTTCAAATGTTAACTTTTTTAAATTTTTAAAACTTTTGAAAAATTCCCGGGAGCGGGATGGATATATTATATCTGCCCGCATTTGCCCTGGAGCGGGACATATATAATATATCCTGCCCGCCCCTCAGATATGATATATATTCCCGGGTGATATCTACCCCAAACCCACTCAAGTATGAGATACAATATGATATGATTCTTTATTTCCTCCAATTTGGAGAGCCAACGTGTAAAAACGTCTAATCGACCTTATTAGAGAGGCCGTTTAGTTACACGTTTAATGGAAATCATGCACGACGCACATGTAGAATTATTGCTCTCTTTGGATTCCTTCTCTCCGACTGAGTAAAAAGGTAAACAAAAGTGATAAGATTTAGGGCCCAAAAAGGTAAATTGATAGGGGTACAGTTATCCCAGATATCCCGGGCCCTCGGGAAATATCATATTGTCTCTCGGAATAAAACCAATATTGAATCCCTCTCAGTAAATAACCGTTATATAATAGCATTGTATAACTGCAATATCATTAAACCAACACTCATCCTATACAACTCTTGAGAACGATGTACAACTCCTGGATAGCGTAAACTCTTAAGATCAACTGGCAAAATTGTACACCGATACTGTAAACCTTGAAAGTACTGTTGATCAAGACCAGAGGTCGAGGACACTTTTGCCAACTTATTTTTTCAAAATGTCCGTCTTCCATGTTTTTTGTGACGTCATGAAACTTTTTTTCAGAAGTAGCGGTCAACAGTACCTAGTAGCGGTCAACAGTTATCAAATAGTGACTGCCATTGAGGGAAATAGTGCAAAATATTTTCCTCAAGGGAATATCCTGTCCACTGACATGTTCCCGAGGCTGCAGGCCGAGGGAACAAGTCAGTTGACAGGATATTCCCGAGAGGAAAATTTTTACACTATTTCCCGAAAATGTGGCAGTCACTATTTGTTTTATTATATACCTGATAAGTACTCTGTAAACAAAAACAACCCCTTTCTGTACTTTATTTAGTTTGCCTTGAATATCCTTTTAAGTGTGATATAGACAAAGAAACCAAACAAAATACGTTTCGTTTATGGACCACTGACTCACGCATTTTATTCATGTCCCGACCTACACCTGTAAACAGAACATAAAACAGTTTCTCTTGTTGTTCAATGATACATTATATTGGCGTTTTTGCATCAGCCCATTGGTGTTGTTGCATCATCGATAAGAAACAGAGTGGTGTTGTTGCATCAATAGTGAGGAATTAAAACCACGAATTTATCGCTTCTTGATGATGCTACATGTATACCAATGACAGTTTTTTAAAATATAGATCATGCGCTAACTGCATGTGTATAATTATTGGGCAACTCGTCCTAGAAATGGGTGTAAATTGGGAAAACAAAACATCGTACGAAAATCTATGACCGGAAGTCTGGCCATCTTGATGCAACAACACAGTGTTGTTGCATCACGATACCCCCCAGTGAAAGTACACACCCGTTTAAACAATTTCCTTTTATTTGGGACCCTGTACATATGTATTAATATAATTGAGTGCCCGAAATGCCTTAGTTTGGGAACTATCACGAATTTAAATTCAAAAATGACCGTTGCACTTCGTGCACATTATATCCGCACCGCTTGTTTTCGTATGACACAGATTGCATAGGGTAGAGTAAGGACTAGTCTTCTCAGAAAAAGACAATATCACAGTGTCAATGACGCTCTAGCAATCCTATAAATAAAACACGGGTGTTATTAGCTCACTATTTCAATTACGTTTTGAAACCTCTGTTGATAGGATTCCCGTTTTAAGTTATTTCTGTTCAAACATCAATACAGAAAATTCCCTTATGACTCCTGGTTCAAAAGCTTGCCTATTTCCAAAATGGCTGCCATATTTGTCTCGCAAAATTCACTTTTGGACCATTTGGTACTTTTATAAATAATTTCAGGTGCCCTCCATTGTAAAAAGCCATGTCAGTGTAAAGAATAGTTGTATGAAATAATTTTGTTACAAAAAATTGCCCCAAAATTATATCAGTTTTTTTTCAGCCATTTTAGTTTAAGAGAGAATCAGAGATAGCGAGTAGGCTAATCAAAAAATTGTTTCAATTTTAGAATATTTTTGGCTCATGTCATTCCTTGTCATGTCTATTTTCTAAAAATCACAAAAGTGCATACTTTATTCAAGGAAAACGAAAGATTTTTACAATAATGTATTATTTTTCTATAAGAATGGTTACCATTCTTATTATTTGGGAGAATTTAAATCATTTTTGCACTTTGAATCATTAATAACTTTACCAATTTTTAACATATTGTGAATCTTTTGGGAGATATTGTATTTGATATTGTAAGGAATAGATTGGTAGGTCAATTATGCACATTGCTTGTAATTTTGTCACCCCCTATAGATCTGATTCTGCCTTTAACATTGATTTGTCCATCTGTCTTTCAGTCAGTCCACAATAGTGACACGTTTTAAGACCTCTGTCGAAAGGATTCCCGTTTTATTTATATTTATTGTCTGCCATTTTAGCCATCTTTTTAGGAGCACCATGTGAGCCTTGCAGTACCCACAATACTATTTATTTTCATGTTTTAGCACGAAAAATGAAGAATAATTACCAATGTTTGCCATATTACGAAAATTAAGAGATTCATTTGAGACACTGTCCTTGATTTCTATTTTGAATACACCACCCTGGATTGTTTCCACTCCTTCGTATATCGAAGTTTTCAAAAATACGACAAACAGTCCGGTCATAGTTAATCCGATTGCTAATCCTTTAGCTCTCCGTCTAAAATATAACATAAGATACATATTACGAACGGCTATAATGAGAATTATCTAAGATATAAAGATCTACAGTTGCATCTCACTGTAAGTGTTGCCTTTATTCTCGACATTAGTAATAAGACATATGGGTTTGTCGTAAGTCTCTGCTCATTACAGATTCACTACAGTATTTATGTACTAAGAACGAGGCCATATAAAATAGAATCTTTGTTTTCGCCCCCTTGCCTTGCTAGTTTTTTTTATGTTCTCTTTACAAATATATGTCGACAGGCTGAGTCGATTTCGTGTCGCTGTGGAACGCGCGGGGTATCGTACGGCAAGAAAATTTGGTGAACTACTAGTAAATTCACTTTTTTCTCTTAAACCTTAAATCGAAAAAATCTGAAAAATAAAACATAGTCAATGCAATATTCATCTTTTGAATGGTAACAATTTAATTAGAAAATTATTTATCTAATGTTTGTGTCTGGTGGACCTTAAACGTGTCCATATGGAGCGAATTAAAGTTCAGATGAGTCGAGAATCCTACGTGAATGATACAGTTACAATTCATTTTAATTGGTTGTTAGTCAATCAAAGCTAAAAACCAAAAGACCACAGTGGATTTTGTAACGATCCGCGGGCACGTCCGTCCGGGGAGCAGTAGTGTAACGAGCCAGGGACTAGACATAAAAGGGAGTGTGCTGAATTCAATGCCCCCGTACTTGCTCCGGAATCGTACCCAGGACATTCCGCTCTCAAGCCTGCCGCTCTACCACTGAGCCACTAGGGTTACCCTCTACAGCTGAGACTGTAGTAGCGACTTGGTACTGAAGATCATTACAGGAGTATCATACGCAATGGTGTCCTTGGTTCAGGGGTATTTGTCAATTGTTTCCATTGGCTTAGCTTTCGAAGCCCGATCTCGATGGTATGGTAAACACTGTACATCTGTAGCTGTACAATACATTTATATTTTACACGCAAAACGTTTATATTCTATATTTCAGATAAATTAGTTTATCATGTGCGATACACCTATCCGATAGCCTCTTGTAATTGAGAAGCAGGATAAACCAAAAAAGATAACCCAAAACAAATGTTAAATATGACTTAGTCGATCAGCATGGATTTGAAATCAAATATGGCACAAGTAAACCTTGTCCTTTTTGACCAATGAAACTTAGTAAAATGAAAGACAGTTACAAAATGTTAAATTGTCTGAGTTACTAGCCTTTCTTTGGGTTACCTTTTTGACTCACCCTGTTTCTCAAGAATAAGATAGATGGTCATTTAAATCAAGAGGGACGATAAGCGTGGAACAGTAAAATAACTTGCATTCTCTTCAGCCAAAGGCCATGAAAGGACATTTAATTTGTTCAATGAGCAACATTTAGCTCATCTCCCAGTCAAGATAATTTTCAAGCAATTAATCAATATTGAGTCTGTAGCTCATCTCCACTATGATCATTATCAGACAATCAGTCAACATTGAGTCTGCAGCTGATCTCCAGTATGATCATTATCATACAATCAGCCAACATCGAGTCTGCAGCTCATCTACACTTTGATTATTATCAGACAATCAGTCAACATTGAGTATGTAGCTCATCTCCACTATGATCATTATCAGACAATCAGTCAACATTGAGTCTGCAGCTGATCTCCAGTATGATCATTATCATACAATCAGCCAACATCGAGTCTGCAGCTCATCTCCACTATGATTATTATCAGACAATCAGTCAACATCGACTCTGTAGCTCATCTCCACTATGATCGTTACCAGACAATCATCCAACATTTAGTCTGCAGCTCTTCTCCACTTTGATCATTATCAGACAATCAGTAAACATTGAGTATGTAGCTCATCTCCACTTTGATCAATATCAGACAATCATCAAAAATTGAGTCTCTAGCTCATCTCCACTATGATCATTATCAGACAATCAGTCAACATTGACTCTGTAGCTAATCTCCACTTTGATCATTATCAGACAATCAGTAAACATTGAGTATGTAGCTCATCTCCACTATGATCATTATCAGACAATCAGTAAACATTGAGTATGTAGCTCATCTCCACTATGATCATTATCAGACAATCATCCAACATTGAGTCTCTAGCTCATCTCCACTATGATCGTTACCAGACAATCATCCAACATTTAGTCTGCAGCTCTTCTCCACTTTGATCATTATCAGACAATCAGCCAACATTGAGTCTGCAGCTCATCTCCACTTTGATCATTATCAGACAATCAGTAAACATTGAGTATGTAGCTCATCTCCACTTTGATCAATATCAGACAATCATCAAAAATTGAGTCTCTAGCTCATCTCCACTATGATCATTATCAGACAATCAGTCAACATTGACTCTGTAGCTAATCTCCACTTTGATCATTATCAGACAATCAGTAAACATTGAGTATGTAGCTCATCTCCACTATGATCATTATCAGACAATCATCCAACATTGAGTCTCTAGCTCATCTCCACTTTGATCTTTATCAGACAATCAGTCAACATTGACTCTGTAGCTAATCTCCACTTTGATCATTATCAGACAATCAGTCAAAATTGAGTTTGGAGCTCATCTCCCCAATGATCATCATCAGATTCAACCTGAATAATAAAATAATAAAAAACAACTTATTAAACCATGGTCTTTCAACTAGAAAGTCCATGATTAAACATAAATGAACCACAACAATATTTATCTAACAAAACTAGACAACAGCAACACCAAAGCATAACAATCCCATCGAACAGCCATGGCTGGCATTTTTACAAGAAAAGTATATATCAAAAAATGGCAGCCATTTTCAAAATGGCCACCTTCTACCAAAAGTGTCAATAGACAGTGTGCCAAGCTTATAGTATTCACATATCAAATATGAACAAAATCGCTAAACTACTTTTCGAGTTATCGAAAAATACGTTAAAATGGCGGCCATTTTCAAAATGGCCGCCTTCTACCAAAATTGTCATTAGACAGTGTGCCATGTTTATAGCTAGCATTCACATACAAAATATGAACAAATCGCTCCACTACTTCTAAAGTTATAGCAAAAATCGTAAAATAACGAGTAAATGCCGCCATTTTTCAAGATGGCTGCCATGTGCTTCTTTAATATCTTCATTTCTAGGTTTATTAATGACCTATATAATTTTTTTACATTTAAAACATATTGCTATGACAGTTTTACATATTGCACCTAAACTACTGTAAAATTGGCACTAAAATAGCCGCCATTTTTAAATGAGAAGCCATTTTGAAAATCGGCTTTCGAGCAGAATCTCTTCCCTCATGGCCCATGGGGTATATGTGTAGAAAATATGAACAAAATTGGGCCAACGGTATTTGAGTTATTGCACAGACGGACGGACAGATGGATGGAGGCATTCTCTATATCCCGCCGAACTTCGTTCGATGGGATAATGACTGATCACTTATGCTAACAACTAACAGCAAAATCAGAAATGTCACACAGGTAAAAGAATTACAACATTTGCTCTTGTTCATGAATTTTCAAAAGTTTTTTTTGGTAGACAGAATGATTCACAAAATTGTCAAGGTTTTCAATTCTGCAATCTTGTCATTGACTTTATCAATTCAAATTCTAGGGAAAAGGGGTGTAACCTCAACATGTGGGGTAATGTCAATGTCAACCTGAGAGATGTGGTAATTTTGACACTTGTTGAAAATTACAATTTCCGTTTCCGCCGCATTTGATTTCACAAAAAAATGTTGCGAGGTTGAATGCGAGAAAAAATGGCTTATCCAAAGATCAGAAATTAGAGCAAATAATCAAAAAGAAGGTGAAGTTACCCCATATATCGAAGTTACCCCAAAATGAAACAAAATAGCGTTGAAGTTATAGCCCATTGCCCTACCTCTAAAGCTAAAAACATTGTTACATGTACCTGTTTTATGGATTGATAACACCCTGCTTTGTGGCGTATAAGATCTCCCCATAGTAGAGGGCTGGCACACTTAGGGCATCTCCCCTCTACAGGAAGCATTTCACCATCAGAGTCTTTTAGGAAATGCCTAGCCAGACATTGGGTGTGGCCTTGCATTGCACATGTTGGGGCAATACATTTAAGCCTATCTGTGGTCTCCTAAAAGGTATAAATCAGGCAGTTATATTAGATGTCATGCATTGCACATGTAGGGGCAATACATTTAAGCCTATCTGTGGTCTCCTAAAAGGTATGAATAAGAAAGTAACATTGGTTGTCTTGCATTGTGCAAGTTGGGGCAATACATTTAAGCCTATCTGTGGTCTCCTGAAAGGTATAAATCAGGCAGTTATATTAGATGTCATGCATTGCACATGTAGGGGCAATACATTTAAGCCTATCTGTGGTCTCCTAAAAGGTATGAATAAGAAAGTAACATTGGTTGTCTTGCATTGCGCATGTTGGGGCAATACATATAAGTCTATCTGTGGTCTCCTAAAAGGTATGAATAAGGAAGTAACATTGGTTGTCTTGCATTGCGCATGTTGGGGCAATACATTTAAGCCTATCTGTGGTCTCCTAAAAGGTATAAATCAGGCAGTAACATTTGTGTCTTGCATTGTGCAAGTTGGGGCAATACATATAAGTCTATCTGTGGTCTCCTAAAAGGTATGAATAAGGAAGTAACATTGGTTGTTTTGCATTGCGCATGTTGGGGCAATACATATAAGTCTATCTGTGGTCTCTTAAAAGGTATAAATCAGGCAGTAACATTTTGTGTCTTGCATTGCGCATGTTGGGGCATTACATTTAATCCTATCTGTGGTCTCCTAAAAGGTATGAATAAGGAAGTAACATTGGTTGTTTTGCATTGCGCATGTTGGGGCATTACATATAAGTCTATCTGTTGTCTCCTAGAAGGTATGAATAAGGAAGTTACATTGGGTGTCTTGCATTGTGCAAGTTGGGGCAATACATTTAAGCCTATCTGTGGTCTCCTAGAAGGTATGAATAAGGAAGTAACATTGGGTGTCTTGCCTTGTGCAAGTTGGGACAATACATATAAGTCTATCTGTGGTCTCCTAAAAGGTATGAATAAGGAAGTAACATAGGGTGTCTTGCATTGCACGTGTTGGGGCAATACATATAAGCCTATCCGTGGTCTCATAAAAGGTATGAATAAGGAAGTAACATTGGTTGTTTTGCATTGTGCAAGTTTGGGCAATACATTTAAGCCTATCTGTGGTCTCCTAAAAGTAGGCAATTACATTGAGTTTGACCTTGCATTGTACATTTTGGGGCAATACATTTTACACTTAAACGGTTAGCGGGTGGGCAGATCTCCTAAACATTTTTCATTGGTTGTCTTTGGGTCTAAAATGTTCTTCCTTTTCTTAAAATTGAATACGGCCACGAGAAGTAGATTCTTTGTTTTGCGTCCTGGCAAAATTCAAATCATGCAAGGGTACAAGGAAAACAAACTCCAGATAAAACACAAACTTGTTTGTTGAGAAATGAATACATTTCAAGGGCATAAAATGGGATGACATACCAATTTGTAGTGATTACAAACACATATCTATACATTTAATACAATATATTTAAATATATAGCTATTATTTAAGGGTAAAAAATAACAAAATAAACAATTGCCAAAATAATCAATAACACTGTCAATTTTGAGGCACATCAAATTATCCGCCATTTCATCTGATTCTGATTAAATGAAATACGATTGTACTTTCAGACCCTCGTGATTGCTATTTGGATGTGTTTGTTTTTCTGATACACTCAAAATCATGCAAGCAAGGGGACGCAAAGAATCTATTTCTTATGGCCTTAGGCATGTTTCAGTGAAGAAATGGGAAACGATAAACCCCTGTCCTGTGTTCATAGAAAATGAATTTCTTCATCAATAATGGCTCAATATAGTTATAAGTGCACTGTATGCTCACTGGGAATTAAATAAGCTTTCCAATGATACCTAATACAATCTCTCTGATTTTTCTTGATCTGCCTCACCCCCTAACAGTTGGTGTTATTCTCTATAGCCTAACCGTTTAAGGGTTAAGTCTATCTGTGGTATAAATTAAGTAACACTGGGTGTGTCTTGCACTCTAATTTTTGTAAACTGGTTCAATATTTAAGCCTAGAGATACATGTAATATCTTCTGAAAGTGAAAGGTACATATGAAGCTGATACATTACATGTATTTATTGTTACATATTGGCCTCAGGAAATATCCAGAACATTATTCATACAGGCTAATTCCTATAATAGTATATACATCCCTTTTCAAAGGAGGTTGGAGATCACATCGATTTATATAATTGTAATTTTGTACAATAAGTATCACCATCATACTTACCCCAAGTCTCTTATTACAAACTGAGCACCTAATATGCCTATCACTTGAAGACATAGCCTCAATTACTCCACCTTCATCATTGTCACTAGTGACATCTTTCTGAGATGATTGAGACTGTTTCACTTTCTTGCTCTTAACAGGTCCATAGGCTATAGCCATATGTATAGGTGGGCTGAATTTAGGGTCAAACTCAATCTGATAGTCCTGTATTAACCAGCGTATGGTAAGGGGTAGTCTACACCATGGACTGGTACGCACCATTTGACACATTACTCTGAATCTGTATTTAAATGCAGTCTCTTTTGATGTTTTTCCAGCAACGTGATGAAGCCTTCTAGATTTTTTGGGATTTTGCCACGCCCATTCAAACTGAAAAAGAGGAACATTTCTCGATTAAAATTTATTTCATCATTTATTTATAACATTATTGAATATTTATAATTATAGAATTGTGTCTAGAGTCAGTGGCATTATAGGCTAGCATAATAAGAAATCTGATTAATGAAAAATATAAAAATATCACAATATATTTTGTACAATATAATGGCTTGTGCCACATCATGACTTGGAACAGATTATAATGAAAATGTTCACATATTGGTTCATTCTTTGTAATGTTCGCATAATAACTGTTAACGACAATGGAGAAAAACGCAGACAATCGCAATCTGTTTGATATCAGAAAGAACAGGAAAATCCGGCTACGGCCAAGAATACAAAACTGGACATGAATATTCTAAAATATCCTGAAACTGTGGCCAATAGAACAGTGTGAACCAAATGACCAAGATTGGTATGGGATAAACAGATCATCCTATAGTCGGTTCAGGATATTTGGATTATCCCTTGGCCAATATAATACATCTACCCTCGGGACCTACAGCCCTCAGGCAGATATATTATATTCGTCTCGGGATAATCCCAATATCTTGAACCTAATAAAGGATAATCTCTATAAACACTTACAGTTCATGTACACATACAAATAAAGTAGTTTGATAAGTACAAAAAATCATAATGCTAAATTACTGATTCAAGTTAAAGTCAATGAAAATGGCATACACAGCATTCTAGAATGCACATATCCTTAAATGAAGGAAAACAAAACTACCGATAAGTACCATGATCATTCTACTTACATTACAATTTTGGTCAATGAACAGTTGAGACAAAGAGCAAGCCAAAATGCTCAAGGCATATATTAATTTCGATTTTAAATAAGAATTCAGAACGAAGGCTGAGATTTCATTAGGGAACAATTTTAGTCAATTAACATTGAAGTCATAAGACCAAGCCAAAAAACTCAAGGCATATATTAATTTCAAGTTTAAATAAGAATTCAGAATGAAGGGCTGAGATTTCATTAGGGAACAATTTTGGTCAATTAACATTGAAGTCATAAGAGCAAACCAAAAAAACTCAAGGCATATATTTATTTCCGATTTTGAATAAGAATTCAGAATGAAGGGCTGAGATTTCATTTCAATTTTGGTCAATTAACATTGAAGTCATAAGAGCACGCCAAAAACTCAAGGCATATATTTATTTTAACTTTAATAAGAACTTACACGAAGGGCTGAGATTTCATTAGGGAAACCATGCACAATCAGAGCCATATCCCAAGGTCCCCTGCCACTTGTCTTCCAAGCTCCTCCAGCATGTTTTCCTATATGAAAATAGAAAGACAATGGTAGAAAGATCAAAACAGGACACAAAGGGATAAATATCACTGTCCCCTGCCACTTGTCTTCCAAGCTCCCCCAGCATGTTTTATTATATGAAAACAGAAAGACAATGGTAGAAAGATCAAAACAAGACACAAAGGGATAAATATCACTGTCCCCTGCCAGTTGTCTTCAAAGCTCCCCCAGCATGTTTTCCTATATGAATGTAGAAAGACAATGGTAGAAAGATCAAAACAAGACACAAAGGGATAAATATCACTGTCCCCTGCCACTTGTCTTCAAAGCTCCCCCAGCATGTTTTCCTATATGAAAATAGAAAGACAATGGTAGAAAGATCAAAACAAGACACAAAGGGATAAATATCACTGTCCCCTGCCACTTGTCTTCCAAGCTCCCCCAGCATGTTTTATTATATGAAAACAGAAAGACAATGGTAGAAAGATCAAAACAAGACACAAAGTGATAAATATAACTATCCTCTGCCACCTGTCTTCAAAGCTCCCCAAGCATGTTTTCTTATATGAAAATATCAACGTAATGGTAGAAAGGCATTAACATCCAAAATGTCACCATCTTCCATTTGTTACAAATGCTGAACGCCAAACACCAACAACCAGAACACCATCCACAAATAGTTGGAGACTATAACAATATGCCAACACTCTGAAAAGTGACATAAAATTGAGAAAGGAAGTGACAAATATCAAAAAAAATTAATATGGCCATGGCCACTAGCATGCCAAAAAGTTGAAGGGGTAAGTTGTTTTCTTTGAATTTGATGGCAAGATTTATGTGGCAGACAGAGACACAAATTTTCCATAAGCAAGATGACAAAGTATTGTACTTTGAAAAATCGCAATGAAAACTAAATGAATCGCAAAGAACTTATAAGTTTTTGAGTAAAAGAACAGCCGATTATGTCATACATATACTGTATACACTACTCATACAGCTATGTAGCTATGCATTCATGTTTAGACAAAGCCTTGGAGAAAAAGGCTTGTGTAACCACTACAGATTTTATGGTTTACATGTATAGGAGATTGCAAACTAGAAAATGGCAACTCCACGGAGTAGCAAATCCCAATGAACACTATATAAATTATGAATCTGTACAGTCACAATGTAATATTTACCATCTACTCTTACCATCAATAAATATTTTAAATCATTGTAGTATCATGCAACCATACTTTCAAGACAACTCTAAGTAATGGCGAATTTCTGCTCTAGTCATGCAGAAAATCAGAAAAACAATGCCATAATTGTGATCTCCTCTGAAATTCCTTCAATTGGAGTATAATATAGCCATAGTTTTAAGAGATCAGAAAATAATTGCGAAATCCCGCATTAGGCGGCCATTTTTAATTTTTTGAGGCCTGAATCAGAAAAATGCTACAATATTTGCAATCTACTCTAAATTGCCTTTCATTTGAGTATAATAAAACTGTACTTCAAAAACATCTCAAAAATTAAGGCAAATTCCTGTTTTTCCAATCCCCAATTTACGGCCCCTGGGGGTAAGGGTAAAAAAACAGAATATATGTGAAATAGATAGATCTTGTTAATATACTACCAAAATTTCAAATAAAAATATTTATTATTTGGTTTAAAATGAAAAACATAAGAGTTTTGCGAAAAATTCCCACCATTTTAAACTGGCTGCCATCTTCAAAAAAGAAAATCTGTCAACTAGTATTTGAGTTATCTTCCGGACAGACGGACAGACTGACTGACTGATGGACGGAGGGCTTCACTACATCCGTACAGGACTTCGTTCGTTGGGATAATTACTGATTTGAGACCTTTAAAGCCTAACATGTTATTGATAGAATTACGGATTTCTAATCACAGCATACAATTGTAGTATTTACGCAAACACACATGTGCAGGTTTACCTGTGTTATGCTGCTTTATGCGCCTATTTGGGTCTACAGTGAATCCTATGTATGTATGGCCTTTATATTTTGGATTCTTGCAATAAAGCAAGTAACAACCAAAGAAATTTTCAATCTCATGTACCATTGCAGAGATCCTGTGTAACTTCTGAAAAAAGAAATAAGATAAAAAGTTATTTGCACAGATAAGGGGTATGGTAACTGACCACTGATGCATAGAACCTGCTCCTTCATTTTTCCCATAAGGAATTTATCAAATACTATTATCCATAGGCATTGCACAATGCAGATTTTATTGTTATATATATGTATGCAAAACAATTTAATGAGGTAGATCCCAACTTGGACAAGACTCAATTTGTAAATACCATGTTTTTACATATATCAGAACTTTTGGGTATGACTGTTGCGAATGTTTGAATGAAAAATGATTTTATTGTTTATTTGTTACATTATCTTTTTCAATGTAGATTATCTACAGTATATTGACAAACATTATCTAACAATACGTCTATGAATATTCCTTTTTTCTGTTTTTGTTGATTGATACCACACATCTTCGTCATGATGATACTTTTCGACATGACGTACAACATTAGTTATATGTACATTTAACTGAATATACATAAAAAATAATTATTTTATGATAGAGGGGGATGTAATTTTTTGGGTTTGCATCACTGCGAGCGAAGCGAAAATGGGGGTACTGGGTTCAGCCCAGGAAATTCTTTCAAATTAACATTTTATACATTTTAATTTACATTACATATCGCAACCATCGCACCCCCTGGCTCAACCAATGTTACTGTTACATGTACCTGAGACCATCATATTTTTTATCGTCTCAGCATGTACCTGAAATCTCAGATATGGAGTAATTATTTTGGAAAAATAATACATTACGATCTGCTGCAAATAAGATAAGAACATTTTTTCGAAATTTTGAATTTTTCATGCCTCCTTTTCTTGCAAATTAAAGATTGAAGCCCCTCCCTCTATTATAGACCAATGTATATATTGGTCTATAATAGAGGGGTTTGACTGACTCCCCGTGACTAACATCAGAGAAGGGGTATCTTCCTATGTCAGATTTATTACAAAGACCCAACGGGTACATCTACTGTATGCACCTGGCCATGCACCAATTGAACCTAACTTGAAATGAAACTTTGAAAATTTTTGGAAAGAAATCCAATTTAGAGTGATTCTGGCATTTCTAAATTATATAACACATTGTTAAAATTATATTGACCTTAGAATTCACATTCTTGGATTATTCTCGAGTTCGTGAGGATCATACAAATGTTACATTCCTGCTTTAAACGTGCAAAATTCAAAAATTGTTTTATCGTATTCGTCTACCATTTTGAACGATCATGTGACATGTCACGTGGGTTTGTTTACTTCCGGTACAAAGTGTCAGATAAGCACATGGACTAGTGGGCGGAGCCTGTATTGGAAGAAATCTAATCTGTAACACGCTGCGTTCTCGTATTTCTCGTTAATCACACTTCCCTGCTGCAAATCTCACATTCTGCATCAACAATGGCAAAGCTACAAGGGAAATGGAGGCTGGACTCTAGTGATAACTTTGATGAATACATGAAAGCTGTTGGTAAGATCTTTTAAAGTACTCGTGTAAATTATGGTTGATTCCGATTCTTGGGAGTGAACAACTAATCCCGGTCAGACGTTTAACATCGGGGAAATTATTTAAAAAAACAGGAGATCTTACAATGTATAATAACATCATAATCAGGGATTCTTCATGCCGATGTGTATTGTTCTGCCCCGGGTGTTCTGCAGAGTGCAGATACATATGTATGTGTCTTATTCGCTCAGTGGAAAGATATAGTGCACACCGCCGGGTAAAGAAAAAACTATGTCTAGATCTGTTATTTATTATAGAAACAAAATGTAGAGGGATAAAAAGCGGCATGAATAAAAGAAAGTCAGGTACATAGCCCTTAACATAAATAGGCTACACGTAGAATAAGAGAAGCTCGTGATCAGACCTTGCGTCGATTGTTTGATGAATTCAAACTTGATGACTCAGATATATATGTGGCGTGTTTTGTCGGTGACTGTAACGAATGGCAGGTGGTGACATTTTGCATGTTAATGCCTTATTTAATTGTATTTGATCACACGTAATAACACCAGCCTTCTAAATAAACATCGACCTCTTTGATGATCTAACTTTGAACATAGCAGCTGTCAAGTGATAGATGCCATCCTGGTTTATAGGCTAACATCACCGCAGCATTTTTACAGAACTACATTGTGTCTCTCATTTCAGCCTAGCCTGATGGGGTGGGGGGGGGCTGGATAGTTTAATTAAATATCAATGATTTCTCCGAAAGATTGGCACAAACTACATGTACCAAGCCGTTTTGAACATCATGCTGGTCATGTCGACGGTTATAGCGTTATACAGCAGTGGCGGATCCAGGAACCAACAGGGGGGGGGGGCAAATTTGAAGTCATAGAAAAATAATCTGCGCTTGCGCGGAAAAATTTTTGGGCCCCTAAAACCGAAAAGTGGGCCCAAATTTTGGCCCATTTTCTTCAAAATTTGGCTTAAACTAAAAAAATAAGGCCTTAATGACCAAAAGGCCCACTTTTTGGGGCCTTAAGGCAATTTTTGGCCTAAAATTTTTTTGGGCCCAACTTTTTTTTCTGGGCCAACCTTAGGGAGAGGGGCATGCCCCCCCCCCGGATCCGCCATAGTACAGTTCCGATCCCTAGCTACAAAATTACTTTTGCAGCAAAATTGTCAGTGTGGCCTAGCCAGCGAAGACCGACATAACCCACAGTATAAATAGCTCTTTTACAGACATTTTGGCGAATGCTAAAACTAATTTATCATTTAGTGCTCTAAATATAATTCGAGAGATACAGAATCGGAGCCGGGTTATTAACACCAGCTAGTATCAATGATTACAGCCAGGAGATGTCCATGCAGCTCAAAGCTCAGGGTCGGGTTCATTATTCATTCTTTTCTAAAAGAAGGAAGAAATAGGGTGATGTCTGACAGCTTGCCTTCGGAGGATGACAGGGGCTGTAAGGATCCTTATTTATTTATTCATTTTACATTATTAATAGAAAGAATACAACGTAGGCTCACATGTGCTAGTAGCTGGGTTAGGGCATTAATCATTGTCAGCCACGTTCTATGATGAGAGAATTGACACATTGACAAATTTTGAGGTCCGCAGTATCTACTACTAATCCAGTGTCCAACCCCTTGCATAGAGATATCTCAGCTCACAAGCTTTGAGAGAGACTGATAAATCAAAATGGCAATGACCGAGAGCGTTGCTTGAATTATACTTCAATATGGAGCGGCTCGAGATGAAATTATTCAATATACTGTAGGAAACGAAGAACACATTCAATATGTATCTCAATACCGTATGAACATATTCAATTTACTCTAGCTCGATATAAACATATCAACACTATAGCACAATATTATGAAAGTTGTAGCACAATTTAAGAATTGAGGATCAAAATAAATCTTATCGCAAAGCTAATATTAAATAAATCTGCCAGGCACAATCAAATATACAACGATTATACTGTTAACTAAAAGGATTAAATGGCAAATCTATTTAAGGCATCTTCGATTGTAATTAGCACTCAGCTGATATCTGTGACGTCATCTCAAGTTATCAGATGCATACATTGATATTAAATTAGGCAAGTCTTGTAAAGTGCATTAATTAGATTCTTCTAGTAGTGTATACTGTCCTCTTGATTCTTTTTCAAGTGACCTCATTGCAACAAGTAAATGTTACGAAGGGGAGAACTAATCCCTAGAATGTCATGTAGACACATTTTTGGAATCAGGGCAAAATTTCCAAAAATGACAAAGATATGAGGAAAAATTAGGGTTGCCGTTTTTTTGACCACCCTGTAATATGACATGGTTTTACCTGCGAACACTTCAGTAAACCGGTGTCAAGTACGAGGGGACTCTCAACTAGAGTCCTATATAAATGTCGAAAATGTTTGTACAGAGAGATAAATAGTAATTTATTGCAAGCTATCAGTAAATCGTAAGAAAGTAATATGTCATGTTGACTTTTTATCTTATTTAATTCTCCATTGTAATATGGATATTTTTGATAACTTTAAGTTGCTTCACTTAACTTAAGACAAAGCGTCGCGTTAAACTGGCTTTATTTTTATTTTTTATTTTCAAATGTTACCATTTGTGCTCTTTCGATTTGAACGTTGAGATGTTATGACAACGTATTATTCGGGTCAGCCAACCACTGATAGCATGCTATCCTTACCGTTGTATCAAGCCTCTGGACCCCCCCCCCCAGGGGCCCTTCCCCTCATTCGACGTCACCTCCAAAAGGTGACATAGGTAGGGAGTGAGGGGGGAGGGTCACACGGACATGAAGCAATGCTTTTCGCGCCCATGGCCAGTAATCATATCTCTGTGTAATCACAGGATGTGTGTCCCCTACTTGACATCATTAATGTACTGTAGATTGATCAATAAGGTTCAGTTGTGAAAGAACGAAAATAAACTTCGTTATTATATATTGGAGCGGGGGATGTTGAGTTGATAGTAAAAACTCTTGTATTTTTTAGTAACATATTCAATTTTCACCATATTCAATTGTCAGGGACGACGTGGTTTTTCCTTGTTTATTTCTATTACATTAATGTGTGTGTTATAGGTTGTAATTCGGGAAGTATTTTATAAATAGGCGAGTCTAAATTCAATTTTTGTTTAGTCTTGCACCTTGTATAAATTCCCCCAAAAATCTCTTTTCTTAAATCAAAAATAAAGTTGGACAATTTTATGAATGAGTTGAGCCCTAGATTTACATACGTGCGTTACATGTAATTTAATGTACCATGCGCGCAGTGAAGACTACGACGAAGCTTTCTTTTAGAAGCGAATGCAAAGGGTAAATAATGTATATTCCAGAGTCGTGCAAATAAGACTATGCACTGTAGTTGTAGTAACACCGAGTACTATGGCAATATTAAACTTCACCGTAATCTTATCACATCGGAGATAATATATATGAGAGCCTATGAGGTGATGATATATGAGGTATTGTCTGGAGAATAATGCGTTGCAGTGAATGAACGAACGAGCATTTGGATGATAATATAGTACCACGTTCAAGTTATCAATGATAGTAATGTAGAACACTCGGAGCTGACTTATTATTATCTCGTTGTTATCTAATGCTACCCTTTGCATTCGTCCGACTTCGCTTCTTAAAAGAGAGCTTCGTATTCAAAAGTTCGGAACTAGACTCTGGGCGCAGGGTTATCTAAATGTAATGGATATATTTTTTGATCTATTTAAAGATTTACAACCCTCCATTCTTTATTTAAAAAGAATTACCATTATCTAATTTCGAAAGGGGAAGGCTAATTATCTAAAATGTGAACACAATTTTTTAGTTATTTTTGCATAATTGACTGGTGAGTGGTGTTGATCACTCAGCCAAAATGGTCATCGATCGAGCGTCATGTAGCTGTTAATTATAATGTCTATCAACCTGCCGCTGCTCAAGCCAATGTGCGAGCCTGTAATATTATACACCCCCCCCCGGGAAAGCTTGCTAGCCGGAAGTCTCCTTTCGTCAAAACCTATTCACCATTCTCAAAATTCATTTCGTTCGTTGCGTACCTTCACCACGGGAGGTACAGATTGCACTGGACGAAAGGCTCGGAGATTGCCTATTCACGTTGCTCGATTATAAAAACGTCATCCATGTCATCATTTTCAGATCTAACACAACTGAGAAACATAATTTCGATTTTGGCATTTTTAGCACCCTATCCGAATAGACACTTCACATTGCACCCTTGGTATACGCAGCTAACGAAAATTGACCGGCACGGGTCAAAAGCTGGACCGGCACGGGTTAACGGTTTTATTTGAATTTAAAATAGCCATAACTTGCTCAATAATGACTTCCTCATGTCTAATTTGAAATATATGATGCCTCCCGATGCTTTTAAGTACCCCAATTTTTTACAGATTTTTAAACGGACCAAAACTCTCTAAATGCGCATTTATGCTCTTTTCTCTCGAGAACGGCTGTCTCATTTTCACGATAACTTTTATTTAGTACTTCTAACATATACGATCTATTTTTCCCCATCAAGGTATGATGTAAATGACATGCTATTTACATCTTGTGAGTTTCAATGACGCGCGTTTGATTTTATAAAAAATGCCAAACTTTGTGACAAAGAATTTCATCAGCTATTGCCCCGAACCGGTCCGTCTTCTCTCTGCAAGCAGATTGCCCCGAACCGGTCCGTCTTCTCACTGTAAGCAGGATGAAATTCGTTGTCACAAAGTTTGGCATTTTTTATAAAATCAAACGCGCGTCATTGAAACTCACAAGATGTAAATAGCATGTCATTTACATCATACCTTGATGGGGAAAAATAGATCTTATATGTTAGAAGTACTAAATAAAAGTTATCGTGAAAATGAGACAGCCGTTCTCGAGAGAAAAGAGCATAAATGCGCATTTAGAGAGTTTTGGTCCGTTTAGAAATCTGTAAAAAATTGGGGTACTTAAAAGCATCGGGAGGCATCATATATTTCAAATTAGACACGAGAAAGTCATTATTGAGCAAGTTATGGCTATTTTAAATTCAAATAAAACCGTTAACCCGTGCCGGTCCAGCTTTTGACCCGTGCCGGTCAATTTTCGTTAGCTGCGTATACCAAGGGTGACATTGCCAAACTTTTGTTGGTGAGTGTAGATCGCTATAACAATCTGCTATACGGCGCGACACACAGCCATCATATATACCACATGTATGCAATTAATCAATCTATTTTATCTTAATTGATAATGCAAAAGGTTGGTACGTTCACTGAAGGTCAGTGACTCAGAAATCAGACCATTCGATATTTGCAACTATATTTGTATGTTATCTTAAATATTGTTTGTATAAACTGATACATGTTTAATTATGAATGTAACGTGTTTACTCCGTCGCATGTACGTAGACTTGCTCTCAGACAGTTGCAAGATAGACCATCCTTAGTCATGTTAGTGCAAGGGTATTTCACAAAGCGCCCAATCTTATGAAGGATGGGATAGACGTGTAAACGTATAAATAAACTACTATTGATACTGTTATGAAATAATCAATCATCTTGAGAAAATGTTTTACAACTTTCTTAAGAACATAAAAAGTGTCGATTGTTAGGATGAAGTGCCTAAATACTTACTTTTATCACCGAACTGCACTTGCTGGGTCAGAATAATCGATGTGAAATGCTGTTTTAAATGCTATTTTAAATGCCTTTTTCATATTGGCGGTATTATTCGCAAAAGCGAACACCAAGCAAAGACGAATTCAAGTTATTGGGCAAATGTATATCTATTTCCTCTACCCATAATATCATTTCAATTCTGATATTTGCTTCTTAAAAGTGAGCTTCTAACTCTATTTTATAATCTCAACATGATGGCCACGGATTGATATTCCATGTATTCACGGGGTCTTGTTTGAGATATTTTCGTAAATGAAACCATGGGCTTTCAATAGTGTTTTAAGGCATTTTAAGAATGATTATCCCATTTGTCAGAGAACATGGTGATGATGTATTTGATTTGCGTTTAAATGGGGGCCTTCATATGTTTCTTATATTTAGTGTAACCTATAGGGCCAATTATCCTAGCCTGTTACATTCTGTCATCTCGAGCTTCTTCCTTGTCTCATCCAAGAGAATTTGATACGTCAACTTCAAGTTCTGATACTCATTGCATCTTTCTGTTTCACTTATCTCAGGGTTGAGAAAGAAATGATATGTCATGGTTTATCATGATGCGTCAACTTTGCTCCACAGAAAAATATGAATATGTATGAACAAGACGTGCCAATGGGAAAGTACCAAATATGGTTACATAACACATGAAGAAAAAGAAAACATTTAAAAGTACACCCAGTGACAAGGTCAACATACCCAACCCAACTATTTCAAAACAATACGTGGAAAGAAACAGTGTACAATACCTCCCCCCCACCATTCAAGTACCAATATCACAAACCGAGACCATGGGGCATTTCATTAATTCAAGAGAGATTCCATAATAAAATTTCATATAACTTCATATTCAAGGTACATATAATTCAATGAAGATCGAAGACAATATATATAGCCCATGCTTGTGGGATGAGTAGGTCAAACACCAATTTTTAGTATGCGCGTACTGTATCCCCGGACCGTCCTTGGTCCAAGGGTAATTCACTTCCAGTTTCCATAATGAATTGAGTAATAAATGAAGTCTTTTGAATCTCCGCGATCGCCATATTTACCCGCAGCCCGCTTTTACGAATGGGGGAGCTTTTGTCATGAGGGGGTGGGTGGGCTTTATGACAGATTTGACTAAAAATCATGCAAACAGTGCTTAGAATGGTGAGAATGGCTATGGGTCTGTCATGGGTCATTTAAAATGCAATTATGTAACAAAGGCTTAATTAGGCTCAATTAGTGTAATGCGGCGGTCCTTCGAGCATCAGCTGAAGGAAGTACTTAACAATGGGCCTGTCAGAGACGCGCGATGTGTCAAATTAATTACGACTTTATCAATCATGTTATCAACTCGTGATAAGTAGTCAATCTAATATCCAAAGTATCGTATGACTGTTCTATAAGCATAATTGTTAATGCAGATTGTGTGTTCCTACATTTTGGCGCGATAACACTGAACGAAACTGCTCGATACTGCCTTTCACCCAGTTCAGTGCTGCCATCTATAATGATTCCGCTGTACTAATCTAATTGGGTGTATGATATTATATTGTAATCGAACTTGTAGCTGGCTATTGGTTAGGAACAATTTTAAGTGTTCAAAAACACTCGATATTTTGGAGGATTGCTATACATACTAGTTCTTTATCTTAACGCTAGCCTTCACGTTTTGTTTTACTTTCACTAACCGAATATCAAGATACACTAAAAGAAAATGCTAACTTGGTTAAGGCTATCTAAACACATGCGCTATGCCACTGTACCCCCATCAGCACATATATTCCTCTACAAAGCGAAATACTCGTATTAATAATATTGGAGATCAGATAGCGTATTAAAGTTTTCATGTGGCTTGCATCATGTCGCATCGTTCGGTATCATTACCGTATCGTATCGTATCGTATCGTATCTTACCGATTCATATTGTGTTAATACGGTAGGTCGTTAAATTATGTCATGGTTGAAATAATTCATGGTCACATACAAAAAGTAACACATTTTTACCAAATACTACAAAATATATGTACCATAACATCAGCACAATGAGCACATGAAATATAACTTTCTAAAACAATTTGAAATTCTTTACTCACCTGTGTTCATACAATATTTTCAGGAGTTGGCATGGTGATGCGAAAACTAGGCGGAGCAACAAAACCCAATCAGGAAATCTCACAAGATGGAGACGAGTGGTCGATCAAGACACTTAGCACAGTCAAGAACACAGAAGTAAAATTTAAACTTGGAGAGGCGTTTGATGAAACTACTGCGGACGGTAGAAAAGTAAAGGTAAACTCCCTTTAATAATTATGGAAAGTCAAAGTCACTCATTTATCTTAGAAAGTCTTAGGAGTTTAAGCTTGTAAAGTTTTCACAACCTAAACGTGAACGGAAAATATTAAAGCTATGTTTTTGTATGGACGATTGGTCATATAGGTTGGCGTTTCGATTTTATATGCAAGCTTAAACTCCATAATGTTATTTAAACCTGCGTGTGTTTGAACCGTTATTGTATGGATCTACATCAGGTTGTAGTCCCACATAGGGCAGGCGAAGCAACTGCCTCGCCAAAACTTTTACAGAATACATTTATTCAGTTTTTTGAGCAGAACTTTAGCCGATGACTACACTGTGTTGAAGCAGTTTGTTCTTGACTGCTTCAACTCACACTGCTCCAAAATGTTCAAGTATTACTTTACCGTTATTTAAAATTATGGCATCACTTAAAGGCACTTTTGAGAGTTCTTATCTGAGTCTGTACTAAAAAAGCTAAGTGCAAGCGTCAGTTGTAAACTTAGACAGACCTATAAATTATTAGCGGTAAACGTTAAATTTTACAAAACATCTTAGTTGCGCTTACAAGGGAGGGGAGGGTGTCAGGCATGGCCAAATAAAACAATTTAAATGTACACTTACTTTCAGACAACTATCACAGCTGAAGGGGACACTAAACTCGTACAAGATCAGAAGGGAGACCCAGATTCCGTCCTAACTAGAGAACTAACAGACGATTCCACCATGACCATGGTAAGATTCAATACTGCACATGCATAAAAGAGGTTTATAAATAGCTAAGCAAGCACAAAGGGCAATATCTCGAAAATATTGTATGAAAAGTTGTATGTATGATTTGGTGTAAGGAAAACCAGTGCTATTCAATCAAATCATTAATATTCACTTGAAGTAATATTCCCATATATGGTCATTATTATTTAAGATACACTCTTTTATCAAATAATAGAAAATGACATCGATAATGGGATCAACAAGGGCAACATCTGAAAACACGAGATAATAAGTATAACATGTCAATTAAGATCAACTTCAACATGGATGAACCATAATGGATCTCTCGTACCCGAACCACACATTCTTTGCTTGAAAAAATGTCAGATTTAGATTGGGGGAGGGGGGGCAGTATAGATAATTGGAAATCCATTTCTTTGTGTTAGAATTCATGTGTTTATTCATTTTATGAATTGTATAATGCTTGATATATTTTTCCTTTCAGAGTTGTGTTGCCAAAGGCGTCACCGCAACCAGGGTCTACAAACGGGAATAGATGAAATTCCAACAGTTTGTGAACAGTTGACAGTGGACATAAGCTCAAAAAAAGCTTGACAATCACATTACCAAATCACATCATTTCATTACAAATTTTAGAAAAAAAAACATAAAACATATCTGTGCAATAATTGCACCTGCATTGATTTTTTGGATGTAAAAATATCGTATAAGACATATGGTATGAGAGGAAAATCACATTTGAGCTTTATTTGAAAAATAAAAAATATTGCACTTATGTAAAATATGATTTACTCGAATTTAAAGATGGCGCGATGATCAAAACCAAATCAAGCGCCCTTGAATGTTATATGTAGTGTATTTTTAGTGAATTTATCACGAAGTCGATTTATTATGACATTGACAAGTCAGTCATAACTTCTAGTCCACTTAAAATAATGTACAATTTGTAATTTACTGAAATGTATATGACAAGACAACTATATATTTGCAATAAATATTGATATAAACTTAAAAAAGTCGAGAAACAAATAACGATGAGAGGTGACACGTATGTCGTGAGGGTTGTAAAGCATTAGTCATATTTTATGTTCTACGGCGGCCGAAGCTTCACAAAATCGACATAGAAAAAAGCTACGTAGTATTGCTAATCCCTATATTCTTCAGTATGTTGTATATTTCTCTCAATTTTGGGAAGCTACGGCCGCCGTACGTACGTACATCAAACAGAGGCATGACTACGGTCGTATTTGACAATCGCTGAAGGAATTAGAATGAGGATATGATTTAAAAATCATCCTTATGTTCTTGAAATAATAACATCATTATTTTCTTTACTGAAAATGATTTGAGCTGTCTGATTTAGTATTGATGTTAGTCCCCATACTTTATTGATAAGTTAAGAATTTTCAAATCCCCTTCGAAGAAAGTGAAAGAAAGCCGTAGCGATCAGAATTATTTTTGAAAATGGGTATTCAGATTTTTAACTATACGCTATTAGAAAGGACATATGATAAGTCACAAGGTAATCAAACTGCCCATGATTATCAATGGCAAAACTGTTCAGTTTCTATTAATTTCTTATTTGAGAACAATGAAATTATCCTATACTGCCATCTTTATATCGGGCCGGAACCCATGGCTTCATGGTGCATGATGCACTCGTGTCACTGCAGCGTTTTCATGTCTTTTTATCATAATTTATCTGTACCATCGGTGCCATTAAACACCGTGTCCTCAAACATGCGTGTGATGTTGTCCGATGTGCAGTTTATGGCTGTGTTTTTTCGGTTTTGTATTTGCATGGGTGATGTTGGTTTGATAATCGATTGTGTTAGTTTTGTAATGGCGTCTGCCCTAATTTACCTTTATGTAACCAGTGTTCCCATAGGTTGTTCACTTGAATTAGTTGAACACGTTGATTTTGCTAATGTCGGTGTCCTTGGTCGTGTTGAATGCCGTACATACTGAGGCCCGGGTATACTGTCATTAATACAAAATCAGTCTTATTCTTATCCATTAAGCGTATAAAAATCAGTACTATTCTTATACATATAAGTAATCTATATTAAAAGAGTATAATGTACATGTATACACCACGCATTAACAACTCAGTACTAGCGGACTTTTTAAACATTTTTAACGTATTCCTGGGCCTCAGCGTACATACGTACCCATGACATGGATTGTTGGCAGGGAATAGGTTTTTCCCCATATATGGTCTTGATTAAGTTATATTGGTTGGGTGCCATGTTGTGCAATTAGGTAAATTAGTTCGTGTTCTCCTAAATGTGCTGTTCGCCTCGTTGCCCTGCATGCATCTGTGGCATTTGTGACACCACACGTCTTTGGCATCATGCATTTGGAGCACCATGCCTCTTGCAATGTGCATTATGCCTGGGTCACATTTGCTCCGATCCATCGGCCGGCGACCGCCCGATTGAGTGTTTTGTTCAATACAATTTTGAACAAAATACTCAATCGGCCCGGCGCCGGCCGATGGATCAGAGCAAATGTGACCCAGGCATTAGTGACATTATGTATGTCTGGTCATCAGCGTGGTGATTGAATGAAACACCACAGTAGCAGATAAATCCATAGCGGTTGACATTCAACATGTTAGATCAGACTAAATCTACCTGTTAATGGTTTATTATGTGTACTGAGATGTATTACTAATATATTTTTCCGATAAATGCTGCCACATTAAGACATCCTTGTGTGCAAAATAATCATTTTTAAAAACAAATTTGAAAAAAATATAATGTAAAAAATGTTGTTAGGAACAATTTGGATTTAAACCTTTTAATCATTGAAAGTAGGTCAAACTCACAAAAGTTCTTAATTTTTTATTTTTTTATTTTGCTACTTGACTTCATTTTTAGACAGCATGATATATCGAGAAGATATTTTTCCATGTTTAGTTAATTTTTCAAAATTAAAGTATGGTGAATTGTTCCTCCTAACCCCAAGGATAGCCTTAAGATGACACGCTAGTCAGTTTACTATTGAGACATTATTCAAATGATGTTATGAATCTATTTTCTACATATACAACACATTAGTCTACTCGACTTTCAAAATGGCAGCCCTAATTACTCGCTATATTTTTTTTATCTAGGGTGAAGCTTGCAATTAAAAATTCCATTCAGTACCAACCTGATAAGGTTTCATCTCACAATGTGTGGGCAAAGTTCTAGCTCAGTGAAAAAGTTCTAAGTGTTTAAAGTCTTGTCTAGCTTGCCATTTAATAGAATGATACCGTGGCCACATTGGTTTTGAGATAAATTAACCTGGAGAGAACTACCATCGCAAAGCTACCTGTTTCAGAAAATTATTCTGCTCAAAGTCTCAAAAATCGCACCGCCATCTTTTCATATTCTGGCAAGGGATATTGTTACTCACTCAATTTCAATGGTGAAGTGAAAACTAATATACGAGATGTGGAAGTAGTCCATCTACTTTTACTGTACTGCTACAACCTTAATTTACTTATGCGCTATGCGCATATAGGGGACAACTTCTCATGCGAACAAAACATGTTTTGTATAAAACAAAATAAATCTTATTGAACTTGTGAACTCAACTTTAAAATCAAGGTAAAACCATACGCATGGACCGTGGTAAAACCAATATCCACTGCGTTTGAAGAAGTTAACAAAAATATTTTTAAAGCAATTCGATGTGATTGGATAAGTTGTTTGGAACAATTTTTTTAAAGTTAGATAATAATGTCGGGTACCCTGCGTGCAGAGTCTAGTTAAACTACAAGACGAAGCTCTCTTATACGAAGTGAAGTCAAACGAATGCAAGTCGGGTTTACTGCCAATATACACGCTTATAAGTCAGGTTAAGTCGCCAACACAGTCCATTAAACACAATACCCTTTCATTAAGCCATATACACCATAGCCGGAATTCACCTTAAAGTTGCCAAAACAAGTGAGCATGTCAACTAAAGTTCAAAATCATTGATCGAGTTATAAAATCCTATTTTCGAATAGGTCAGAAAGTGTATTTTTAATGTTAATGTACATGTGATCTACAGAAGGGTTGCCGTATTTTATATACTATAAATCTTTGGTTAATGAACGGCTCTTCGGGAGTTACCACAAGACCACATGTCACTGTTTTCGGGCTTGTGATATTGTCATTGGAAAGATATCAGCGCCCTTTTTGAATCGGATATTTTAAATAACATAAACAAACAATAAACATTTATTTCAAAACTTAATGATAATTAACCGACTATGGGTGCGGCTTTTTGATCAATTTAATCTTAATATGGTGGTGACATATCGTTAAAGTCTGGAAAGTGTTTAGCGTTTGGCGTCCGGCGTTCGGCGTTCGACGTCTGTGACAAATGTCAGGTGGTGACATTTTGCATGCGAATGCCTTGTTTTTAATTGAACCTTCATTTATTGGAGTATGTATAATTACTCGGTTTTAGAAGAAATTTTAATTTCTGACAATGTCTTATCCAGTATGCATCGGCTGGGACATCGGCAACTTATATCATTGCGTTCAATCTCACGGCGATTCATGCTACGTTTAAAGAAAAAAGGAAGAGTGGAGTTGGAAGAGTGGCCGTTCTGACGACCCGTGCAACGTCTAGAAATATATAAAAATCAGCAATTTGTGACCGATATTCTCCCAGAGTCCTTACGGTACCTCAGTTTGCTGACCGATTTCGTTCAAAGTAGGCTAATTTCCAAATATTAAACCTACTTTAATAAAGCAAACCCCCCTGCCATGTGATAAAAGTACCAAGATAAACCGCTGCTCATATTTTAACACACACTCATTTGTTAAACATCCATGATGCTTCGCTACATGACATATTGGACTGAGGAATGGGAATGGCATGCCAAAGGGGGGACTAGGACATGCTTGAATATCGGTGTGAGGTCGGGTTCGGCCGAGTAAGCGCCTCCTGCTGTATACTCCCCGTCCATATGAGCTATCATATGGAACACCTGTGGTCTGGTGGTAGACCACATAAACAAGCATTGTTCTAGTGGGACTTAGGTGGACTGGGTCGCCTTTGGGTTCCACTTATCTCTTCTTCTGATCCACAGCCATCTGGAGCTGTCTTCTGCTGCTGAGCTGATAGACTTTAAGGCACTCTTGAGCTCCTTGGGTTGCAATCCTATCTTGGATAATAGGGTTCTGACTGATGTTGCTGGAAACCCCCTGCAACCAACTTCGATAGGGAAGACGGATGCGTGCCACCCTCTTGTCTCAGCTTCGTCTTTAAGGTCTTGATACTTTGTTGCTTTGATCTCGTGTGAAACCTCTAGCCTATCCTCCCATGGGACTGTTAGTTCGATGATGATAATGGTCTTGGTTGAACTGGAAGTCATAACCATGTCTGGGCGCAGGGTTGTTACGGCCACATTCTGTGGGAAGACTAGTTTCTGATAGAGATCTACCTGGAGTTGCCAATCTGTTGCTTTGGCTAAAATGCTTGGCTTGGGTTGTGGTTTGGGGGTCTTTGCAGCTTTGGGTTTTCCTTCCCTGATAAATTCTATTTGCTTTTGCCGTTGAGTGATGGAACCTCTATTGGCAATGCCTCTTTGCTGGTCTATGTACTTAGAGACTTCTTGGAGTACCTTGTTATGTCTCCATGTGAATCTTCCTTCACTCAGGGATTGGGGGCAAGAGCTGAGGATGTGTCGCAGGTTGCAGCAGTCTCCCTTGCAAAGTGCACACTTGTCAGAATCTTCTTTACCCCATACTCTCAAATTGGCTGGCGTTGGTAAGAGGTCAGTGAATGCGCGCAGAAGAAAGCTGAGGCGACCCTGATCCTGGGTCCAAAGCTCTTTCCAAGTAAGAGGTTTCTGTAGAGCTGCCTCCCAGTTGGTCCATCTTCCTTGTTTGGCCTGCCCTACAGCTTTTATGTGCCTATCTTCTTCTGTTGATCTCCTCACCTCCTGGACAATCTGGCTCCTTTTCTCCTTAGGGGTGATTGCTTGAGGACCATAGTGACCAAGACCCAAACGGCCCTTGCACACAACGCCAACTATGTCCTT